GTTAGCTTGGTGTTTGGTTGTTTTATAATTGTTCATAAAAACATTGGATCGAATCCCATGGACAATAATTTTTTATTAAATAATTCTAACAAAACGATATAATTTTAGATTTTTTTAGTATTAAAATAGTTGCGTCAAAAGACGTAGTTTTGAGTCTTTTTAGTATTAAAACAATTGCGTCAAAACGACGTCGTTTTAGTGAGAGAACCACGTCAGGAACGCATGATGTAGAGATGTAATGCCATAATGTCATTAACCCATTAATGATGGGATGACATAATTGAAGTTAAACTTAAACGTCAGTGTTAAACTTGATAGAATTAAAATATTAGTGGCATAAATGAGCCCGAAATTAAAGGTGAGTGGTATATAAAGTAGTTAACCCATAATTAATTTTATTAGTGAAACATCATCCTTACTTGTGTCCAAAGAAAAACATGATCACAGCTTTTATATCATGATAATTTGAATACTAACAGGGGTAACAAATGCCTGCAAATCAAACATTCATTTTATATTATATATATATCGAAATTAACATTATTTTAATGGTTTCTTGAGGATTTAAACTATAGATCGTAAGCAAATGAATGTGACCTAAGGCAACTGATAATCAACCTTTTAATCTTGATGAATACGTTTGAATGTAAGGTCTAATCGCAAGTCACAAATAAGTTAATATTTTCAATTTGATAACATAATTAATTTCTTGTTGGTGACTTGAGTGAAATCTTCAACATCAAACTCATGCTGACATAAAAACTCGTGGATTTTATTTTATATTTTTTTCTTTCGAAAGATCAAGGTATTCGCTCATTATCAATGATAAAAAGGATGTGTATCCATCATTTTGTCAGTACAATTATTGTGGGTGTTATATTTTGATCCAAATTATAATTGATAATTAAGTTAAATTTTATTTTAATTGTTTTAAGTAATAATTTTTATAGATTAATAATTTTTGATGATTAAGTATTTGACTTTGTAAATAGTAATAATGTTATAACTTAATTACTGAGATAAAATTATTTTGGAGAGATGTAATTTTTTTGGGATCTCTGTAACTTTTGGAGTTTATGTTATAGAAATAGTTTTATAGGGATTGAGAGAGTTTTTAAGATAAACCGAGTTTTGATATCTATGTCAGGTTCTGGGATACATGTGATATCATGTACTTGTAATCTTCTTATTCTCTACTATATAGTGGATTATTGTTTATCTCGCCCGTGGAGATAGACAAAGTCGAACCACATTAAATCTCTCTTATGTATGTCTTTTTATGTTGATATTGTTTTGATTATTTTTTCGCTTACATATTATAACAGTGAGAATTATTTCCCGATATGTCTCTTTCTCTCTCTCTTGTTTTGCAATGTGACGCAAGCTTGGTCCTAGAAACAACAAAAGAATTATTTATCGGTTCATAAAAGATAAATGATAAAGATTTCAAAAACTTCAAAGAATCTGAAGAAATGATATCATCACTGCAAAAGCAATGGTAAAAGGACTGGATTTATTAAAAAAACATAAAAAAGTATTTAGCTCAAGGTTAATATTGGGTGTATTAGGTTATAGATTGAATAATAATAATAATAATAACCTTCAGAAAAGTTTATTAAAAGCACCAAGTGGCAAAACAGCAAAGCTAATGGCTATAACTTATAAGTATAATTCAATAGTTGTGAGGAACAACATGATAAGTTATTATTTTTTATTAGAAGTGGGATCAAACTAATTATATACTTTAGGGTGATGAATTTGTCTAATTAATTTCGTGAAGCTCCCCATGAATGATGACAGGGTGATGGATCCTTAGCCACTTGTCGAATTGAGAAAGCTAAATCTCGTGTCTTCGAACCACTTCAACAATGGATTATGATTTTTTTCTTGTATTTTAATCTTCACTCTTAATTAATTATACTCGGTTTAGGGTGTAAATAAATCCATTTGAACTCATGACATTTATGAGCTTTCAAGAAGAAGAATATCAACTGGATAAGTATTCTGCATATAAATAGAGTGGTGGTCTGGTCCTATGGCTCTCCCAAAAAAAGGTCTTAACTTTTTGAGTGACCTTAGCACTCTGCAGTTACTTCAATACCTTTAATAGTTAAAGTAATACTTAGAGACAATACTTATTGTATAAACTATAATTTATTCATCTTTTCTTGCGGTACGGGAAAGTTATACTTTATTGCTCATAGTTTTATTCTCTCTCAAACGTACTGCTTTTGCCATCACTATTATAGGGCTAAAGATGGCATATACTATTTAATTTGGCCGCAAATCTTAATCAATCTTGACAAGATGATCATCCATTAAGCCTACTTAAGATAAAGGAATAGAGTTTTGTAGCTCTATGAGAAATATATCTATTATTTTATTTTGAAAATTAAATTAAACAAGTTTCTTTTCCCTAATCATAAAAAGGAAAACTTAAACTAGAACAAAGTAACTCTTCTTTTGACTTTATTTTCATATAAAATATATAAAATAATGTTATGTAAATTCACATTAAATAATGTTATGTATCTCATCCATTGGGATAAAAATGACCAAATCACATTAAATTTTGTCTTTTGTGTGATTCATTTTATCTTGATCTCATTTTGATTATTATATCTTCTTACAAATTCCTAACGAGTGTTGTTAGAGCTATGTGATGAGTGTTGAATATTGCATACATCTATTATTATTTACTCATAGTTTTTGATTGAATATTACTGATTTATTTCAATTTTGGCTTATTTTCGTGCATGAACTTCTTTTGTATTAACTAGTTAGAATCAACATTGAAAAGACAAAATCTATAATTTTTCTAGGAGTCGTGGCCGGAGTCATGGACACAAACATTTTCTGACATGACAAACTTTGATGATCAATCAGTAACTTCTAGAAGGCGGTCCAGTCAGCAGCTTCTAGAAGACGGTCCAGTTAGCAGCTTCTAGAAAGTGATTTAGTCAACATCTTCTATTATCTTGGATATTTAATTTTAGAATTATCTTGAAGATATCTGGGATGAAATTACCCAGAAGATGAAACATAATTCAACCCATGGCTTAAATATTTTATCTTCATATTTTTTATAAACATTTGTTTTAAATTTATGATTTTTATTTTGAATATTTTTGTTTTTATCTTTATCTTTTAATTTTTTTTCTTAGAACTCTCGGGTTATAAATACCTTAGTTCAAGTTTTTAACTGATATTAAGATTTGTGATTTCCTTTGTTACTTTATAAAATTAAATTTTCTTTATTATGTTTAATTTTCTTTTATTACTTTCTTTTCATAATGCTAAACATGATCCAATCCATGTTTAGCTAAGCTTACACTTAGCCAAATATTTTGCAAAATTCAATTCTAATCGTGAGAATTGAGTTTTGATTTTCATGCCTTCAGATTGTATTCTTTGATTCTCTGAAAATTGTGAGTGACAATCAGCCCTTCCCTTAAAGGTTACTACATCTTAAACTCAAACAGTACATGATGATTTGAAGAATATTTTTGCTTGAAGTTTGGAAGTTGGATCAGTTGGTCGTAATTCGACTTGTGAATAAACTTAGTGGCAGCCTGCTAAGGGAAATCAAGATCGAGTTTGATTCTTGGTGAAACACTATAACTCGAGTCAGAATTTTCTAGAACTTAAAGATGTTTTGGATTTAACGACGATAAACGTGATTAGACCAACAAGGATTGAATTTTGAAGATAGACTTAGAAATTTCAGTTAACCAGAGAGAGGAGTTCATTGTAGGGGTTGGACCCTGTTGACTGTAACTGACATACATCAAAAAGGAAAAATTCTATTTCGATGATCGATTAAAATTGAGACTAAGCAAATCCTAAGGCTAAATCAATCCCATTAAATTTTTTGGTTATTCTAATAATTTTTATTTACTTTATTATTACTCCTCTTTATTTATTTATTTATATTATCTCTAAACCCCCAATTTTTACTATTAGGCTTCCTTAGTCTCGTGGATCGATTTCTACTTCTCTATACTACTTTCATAATTTATTTGAGATAAGAGTACTTATTTATTTGACAAATTTAACGCTTGTAACTATGTTTAAAGACTCATGTTGATATGATCATGAGTTGTTATTTAGTTTTGAGTAGATTTATTGTGAATTTTGTTAACAAGATTAGAGACATGTAAGAGATGTTTACTAATGAGTTTTCAATTACATGAGAATAATTTTCAATTAATCCAACAATCTTATATTATTGAATCAAATTCTAATTAGTGATGAATTTAGATTTTAATGCATTCTAGTGGTTGGAAATTAATTAGTGATTAAGTTATTTAGACAAAAACCTTATTTTATAAGATTTTTAATGAAGTATTTGATTCCATAAATATAGTACATATCTTAATATTTAAAATCATGAGAAAGATAATTATAGAAGAGATAAAATATTCTTCTTTTTGATCTCTAATGCAAACTTGAGTTTTGTGGGATGTACTTTAATTTTTTGGTAAAACATCATGTTAGTGAGATACATTAAATTTTACGATATAGATAACATTATTAAATACATACAATTTTATATATTTTATACTCTTTGTAATCTTTATATTTTTAATAAATTATTATTTCTTTTATTCATAAAGATAGATAAAAAATAAAATCGTATTATATTCACTTCTTATGTATAATCTATTTCACCTTCTCCACCAACAGATCCTAAATAAATAATGTGTAAAAAAAGTTTCACGTTCACAAACACCCACTAGCACTTTCATCATGCCCATTTTGTCCCTATATTCTCTTTCTTCATTTTCATATATATATATATATATTTTGAATGATGATTGTTTCCTTGAGTCGTAGAACAGATGAAAAGATTACAATATTTGCAAGGCACCAAGGAATATCACATCATGAGGATATGAGGGTTGCTATCACTTTTGAAGTGGTAGGTAAGAAACCTCTGAAGAAGCGAGGTTTACATTCGACCTTCCAACAATATTCTGAAACTAACACAGGGAGAACATTAAATATCAACAAGGATGACCTAAAAGCAACTACATACATAAAACCTTTTGGTACTTTGATTGTTTTTTACTCACATCTTCAAACATGGGGGTATGATCAGATTACTGTTTTGTGAACATGTTCATCGTGTTGAATCCATTGTCGTTTAGGCAATCGAACCCAAAGTCATGGATTCCAAAATCTTGACAATCCAGCAACCATGCGATGTTGTCCTCCCAGGATGGTAAGCTTGACTCATTACTGTAACAAGTTTCTGTTGCTGGTGTGGCACCGTTCCATGAAGCATCAGCTAGGGCAGGTTCATCGAGCCATAAGCTCGCCAACAAGGTTTCGTCGTTGCAAATGCTGTCTAACAAAGAGGAGTCATCGGTGGTGGAAAAATTCACAGTTGGTGTAGTGCCGGAATTATCCTCTGATGAGTTGGTGATGCTGCCGTCATTTTCTGTGATATTATTATCTGCAGAATTTTCAGCATGGGGAGAACTTTCTTCAGGCTTGGATTCTTTGTTTAAAGGTTCATGAGTAACTGGGTCGATTCCCATTTTTAAAAGCTTTTTCTTGATGTGGGTGTTCCAGTGGTTCTTGATCTCATTGTCGGTTCTGCCTGGCAACCTCGCTGCAATTTTCGACCACCTGCCATTATTAAGTTTGATTGTGAGGGTTCATTTTCAGATGCTTCGACGAGAGAGAGAGAGAGAGAGTGATTAAACCTCTTTCCGAGACGAGAGAGAGAAAGAGAGAGAGAGAGATTAAACCTATTTCCGAGACGGGAATGAAGATCAATAACCAATTGTGCTTCATCATCAGAAAGAAGGCCCCTCTTCAAATCAGGCCGAAGATAATTAGTCCATCGAAGCCGGCAGCTCTTGCCACAGCGGCGGAGGCCAGAGAGCTTAGGAACAGCACGCCAGCAACACTGGCCATTGGTGAGAATAAAGTCGATGAGTTTCTTGTCCTCCTCAACTGTCCACGGTCCCTTTTTCACTCCAAGTTTGTCACAGCAAGGCTTCCTACCCATAGCCTAGTCGCACTAGACACAAACTAAAATGTAATTAAGCTCACCAACTCTATACCCGGAAAGACCCAAAAGCCCCACACCACAGACCCCTTTATATAAAGTGCTCGAGCAGCTTTCAAGGATGAAATATAAAATTTTTGAAAAATGAAGATTATGGGATTTAACCGAGTTAATATATGTAAATGTGGACATAAATTCAAAATTTACAGAGATGGGAGGAGATCTCAGGTACCACCAATAGTTTAAGAAAGCGACGTTTGAACTAAAGCGGGTGTTCGTGTGTGAAAGTAGGGATGATGGGTGACCCAAAGACAATGGCTATACCTAAGCATTTCTCCCCAAAAAAATTCTTCCCATTTTCCTACAAAACCCCACTCTCCCTATTGCACTCTTTAATCATTCCATCATCCATTTCGTCATCACCACGTTTTCATGTGCTGGCTATTATTGTCCCATTTTTTTGAAGGGGAATATTATAGAAGTTTTGTGTTGAAACCAGTAAAAAGTTTGAAGCAGAAAAAAATCATTACATAGCAAACACAAAGCAGCAACAAGCATTAAAGAAAACAACCAGTACAACACCATAAAGGTTTTGCGAATATCAGCGGTTCAGCTCTTCATCCGATTCCGTCGAAGCACAGGAAGCCGTTCCTTGTTAATGAGACCGGTAATCCTACAGAAAGGCACATAGGGTTAAACGTGTAAGGAACCAGGTGAGTCCAATGAGAACACGAGAACAGCTGACCAATATATAAATATTTTTTAGAAGACACACCTATATTAATAATATAAAATTTTCAAACCGAATAAACATAAATAAAAATTTAAATTGACATATATACATTAATAATAAAATATATATAAAATATTAATGAATCATTATATTTTTTATTTTTATAATTTAAGTTGATATATTTTATATATATATTAATAAGTATATATAATTTAAATAATTTTTTAATTTACGATATAATGCCTAAAGTGGACATTTTACATTTTTAAAAATTACTTTTTAAAAGTAATTTTAAATAGTTAAATTTTATACTGTAATTTTCAAAAAGCAATACCAAACTCCCCTAAAGTATAACAAAAAAAAAATTATAAGTGATTACAAGCGTTTTTATGGTTAATAATTTCTTTCTGAAAAGACTAAACCCAGTTTCGAGAAGAAGTGGGTGTGCGAATTGACCTCTAGGTGCTCCAAGGCACTCACGCATTCTTCATCGTTTTTGTTTGAAAGGTTTCATGGTCGTTATCAAGCTTATAGTACGATTTTTAATTCTCACGCGGGGGTAGAACACAAACTTCTTTTATGTATTTATATATATATAATTTTGGAAAATTTTACAACGTTCAACGAACACCGATGAATACTACTAATGATGAACATTATTAATTTAATTTATAAAAATTTAAAATTTAAAGTACTCTATATTATAAATTAGTTAAAAAATTAAAGATAGCTTTTAAAATAAAGGGTAAACTATACTGGTGACCATCTAACTATTTTCCCTTTTCATTTTGACCATCATTTTTTGAAATTTTGTCAATCAGGCCACACAACTATTTAAATACATTCAATTAAGCCACTTGCCGTTAATTTGTAACGGAGAAGTTGATGTCGCGGTTAAAATATTTGGTATAATTACACATTTGGTCACAATTACTTATAAATTCTATCGATTTGGTCCTAATTTTAATAAATTCAAATAAATTAATTATGTTTTATGAATGGTATAGATTCTCAATCATAACCAAATAAATAGAAAAAGATAATGCATACAACCTATTTTTGGTTTTAGGCTAGCAATATAAAGTTGAACCTTTTGGTACTGTCAAATTTTTACGGGTGTAAAAGTTATACTGGGATTAACTCACGAAACTTGTTGTGGGCTCAGTCGAGAGAGATAGTGAGATGGGTCTGAGTCGAAGTCGGACATTGAAGAGAAATATTTGACCATAAATGAAAAAAATATATCACGTGGATATTTTTTAATGACATCTGACGAAGATAATTATAATAAATACATATTAAAAATTAAAATATTGTATACTAAATTTTAAAAATTTAGTGCCCAAAATACAAACATCTTAAAAGCTTTGTGACTATTTTTTCACACCCGTAATTTGTTTGTTGCTATTACTATCTTTGAGGGTTAAATTTATTTTAATTTATTAAAATTAGGATCAAATTGATAGAACATATAAGTAATAGTGATCAAATGTGTAGTTATACCAATATTTTAATTGTCATATCAGCTTCTCTGTTAAATATTAACGACAAGTGTTTTAATTGAATGCATTTAAATAGTTGAGTAACCTGATTAACAAAATTTCAAAAATGGTGGTCAAAATGAAAAGGGGCAATAGTTAGGCGGTCACTCGTATAATTTACCCTTTATTTTAAATAATTACCTTTAAATTTTCAACTAATTTATAATTATACATTGAGTGCTTTAGAATTTTAAAATTTTATAAATTAAATTAATAATGTTCATCGCCGCTTTTCAAACCTAGAAGAATCATCCTCTAATTTTTTAATTTGTACTCTAAACTCGTCACAACTAATCTTTGCTTTGAGAAATGTTGAAGAGTCCATGGACATACATTATGACAAGAAGATCATAAGTTTAATACCTATCGGAATATTCCTTTTTATTTATTCTGATTAGGGGTGTTTCTCGAGCGAGTCGATCGTGAGTTGGACAGTGTTTTATTCGTACTCGTTAAAAAAATTTGTTGCTCTACTCGATGCTCGTTAAGCTCGATGCTCGTTAAGCTCATCGAACTTTTTACCTTATTTTCTTAACTGTAGGTAAAATATATTAATACTATATAGAGCTTAATATAATCATAAATTAATAAATTTAACCTAAAAAATTATCAAAAGAATGTATGAAGTAGTTTCAAAGTCTAAACTCTACAATAACAATCCACAAATACATTAAATAATAAATAAGATTTGATTTTGAGTGTAGTAAAATATTAATTAATACTTTTGTATTCTTTTGTTGTTTATTAAAAAAAATATAGATTAGCAATTTATATATTTTTTATTATCTATTAGTAAATTAGTAATTTTTTGAATGAAATAAATTTTTAAGATAACTACTAAAAAATTATATTAAAAAATTAATGAGCTGCTCGCGAATTTATCGAGTCAAGTTGGATGCTACTCGACTCCACTCATTAAGGTCTCGAGTTCGAGTCGAGTTAACCTGAGTCGAGTTTTTACCTAGTTGTGATTGGGTAGAGTTCGAGCTGCTCAACTCGTTAAGCACCCCAAATCGTGATGTAATCTCTTATTTATGGAATGTATTGATATGATTTTTAAAAAAAATATGAGATTGTGTATATATGTTTTAATCTTAGTTGTCGATATAAATGATCTAGACCATTGAATGTAAGGAGACTCAACTATAAATTAAGACCAAATCCCCCCACCTCATTGAAGATTAAAGAGGCTCAACTATAACAAGAGGTCTTGTCCATCTCATTGAAGACACATAAAGTTTAACAGATATTTATTCTTCACTTATGAATAATTTAATCAAACATTTACTCGATATTTCTCTTTTTATTTTTCTTTGTCTTTAGTTACTCTCTTGGTGTGTTATAGAACCTCCTATCTGACTCTTGAAATTCGTTAGTAAGAGGATCAGAAAATAGATCGTCTAAGCAAATTCAACCTAAACAAAATTATCGCATGCTTAAAATGAAGTCTGATTCGTGAACACATATATTCATTAGATTAAATTCAATCATAATAAAAATGATCTAAATAAGCTTTCAAAGCTTAACCCTTCTTCAATCTTGGATAATTCAGAAGTAAAAATATTACTCTTTCGAATACAAGAGCTCAATGGTTTTTAGGAGAGAATATGATAGGGAAAGATGGGTGAAAAAGGTTAAGGGAGAGTATGATGTCAACTATTTAGCCTTTGTCCCATCTCTCACATTCAAACATGAGAAAATACATATGATTTTAGCCATGTTATTTAATAATGGGTAAATCTCATTTTTAGTCATTTCTCTTTATTTCTAAATTCAAAGGTCCTCAATTTTTATGCTCATTTTGCCATAATTCTTATTTGGTAAGCTTAAATATTTTATAATTAATCTAATTACACATATTAATTGATATCCATATGACTTAAATCAATGTTTAAATGTTGACTAAAAAATGTAAGTCGTTGTAAATCGTGTATGAGTGGAGATTGTCTTTTATTATATATACTTCACAAGATCAATACCTCATTACTATGAGACAATATTCTTACATTACCAACCGTTGACACATTGTTATTACAATATACAATAAGATGCGGTTTAGAACATGTTGACAAAATCTTAGATTTACTAGAAGTCTTTCTATTTATTTGTTCATGTAATCTTTATGTTAGTTTGTTTTGATTCAGTTAGAAATTTAGTTCCTATTTCTGTGGTTGTTTATGTGCTATTTTCAGGACTGAATATAATTTAAATAAAGTGTTTCTTCTTCTTTTATAACGCCTACAAAGTATTTGTTTTCTCTTCAATGTTTCCTTGGGTTGTTGTAGAACTAGTGTTGAAAACATTTTGATGTTTCGATATAACAAATTAAGTATAAATGAATTTTAAGATTTTACAAATGATTTTCTAAGTATATTCGATTTAATTACTCGAATATCAAAATATTACTCCAAGTCTTTCAAAGTTCAATTTCAATCCTTACTAATGTGTAAAATTGTGTTTTATACTTAAAATATTTTTGAAACAATTTTCACAAAGTATTTCGAACAAAAAACGAGCCTAAAATCAATTTTTCCAAAGAGTGTACCGATGCACCAATCCATGCATCGATGCACCATTGAATAAATTGAACATCGTATGCATTTTATGCATCGATGCACATACCATGCATCGATGCACTCAGGGTTTTATGAAAACATCGAATGCATAATGCATTTTATACATCAATGCACAAGCCAAGCATCGATACACTCAGACTATTTTAAAACATCGAATGCATTTTATGCATCGATGCACTCTTAGTGCACCGATGTACT